GAGTAGTGGAAAGACGTCCAGAGCTCTGTGGAGGCAACATGATCCGCTTACTTCCTGCACTTTGATGAAATCTTTTTTGATAATATGGAAGCAGTTGTCAGTACTGAAGGCAGAATGGGGCAGACTTAAACTGAAAGTTGAGGATATCAATACGGTTCCTCTTTACAGACGGTTTTCTGAACTATACTGGTGAGTTTCATTCTGATTTAAAGTATTCTAAACTGGACTGATTGTAAAGATTAAACACAAGAAGTTTTTCTACTATTTTTCACACTTAAGTCTTATTTTCTTCCCATTTAATTTGCTCCTTCTAAGTTCTGCCTTTCCTTTGTTTGGCCCAATACTGACCATGTTTTAAATAAGAAGTTATCTTGTTTCTACCTGATTTTTCTTTTTTTTGCAAGTCATGTTTTCCAACCACATGCCTGTATCTTTCAATGGACGTTAACAATTCTACATGTCACTTTCTGGTCAACCAGTCTAAATCTCTCATAAAAAGTCAGTCTCTGTAACTAACTGAGCTTAAATTTCCATATTTTAGTTGCATGATAACACGGTATCACTGAATACCTGCTGTTCCCGTACCACACAATAAATATGTTGCTATTTCTTGGCACCCCAGCGAGGCATAACAGAGCATCCCGGCACCCTAGGTAGCAGCAGGTGATGGTTGTGGTGCTGTGGTGCCAATGGCAGCAGTGTGTGCAGTTTTGCACAAACATATATATGCACTTCTCCCCCCTACAAAAGGCAGCACCAGGGGCTCCTGCTCCAATTGCCCTCATTCAGTTACACTACTGATGGCCAATATAAACGTGTTATAAGACTTGCTGTTATCTGTAGTGACTCGATACAGAGGTATAGTAGAACCTCAGTAGTTCTCAGGGTTAGGTTCCATAGCCCTTGTGAAGGCTGGACTAGTCAGGGGTCACATCCAGTTGCAGCAAACAGCTGTGTGAGACTGTGAAGGCACTCCAAATGTTTTCTCTGGCTGTTATTTCAAAGGATGCTGCTTCTCTAGTCCACTTTGTGGGGTGGCTGATGAGCTCCAGCTGAGTGGGGGAGCAACTTTTGAAACAAAAGCCACAGCAAAGCAGCTGAGCCACTCATCCTTAATTCAGCAACCCACTGTGAATTAAACAGGTTGCAAACCATCCAGATATGAGCACTGCTATTTTATACCCATGTGCAAGAAAGGCTATCAATAAGCACCTAAGAACTGGAGGGGCATCTGAGCAAGGCAGCCTGCAGATTTTCTTTGGTGCCCAGTCTTGGCTTTGTGCAGTGGAGAGGAAAGTTGGGGCCAGGCTCTCCAGGAGCGAATTGCAGCAGTCTAGTTCTGTACCTGGCCCATTGCTGATCTCAGTACTGATGTGGTTTAGAGCAGCCTGGGAATTACTCCAACCTGTGCCAGCTGGTAGAGGCTGTCAAACCACCATCTGCTATCTGAGGGTAGCTAGCATGCAGTAGTGATCTGGTCATGCTCCCTTTGGTCCTGGCACTCAGAGGAGCAGAGTGGCAAAGGGGTCCTCCTTGGAGGCTGTATGCCAGCTGAAGACTTCTCCATGCCAGGGGAATTCTGAACAAGCCCAATATGTCCCTTTGCAGTGCCAGAATTGCAGTGATCTGGAAGGAGGAGATAATTTAGGAATATATATGTAGTGTCGCCTATAGAGATGGAGTGAAGGTGCTTGCTGCGGGAAGGGAGCTTCTCTTCATTTCTCATGGAGGGGAAAAAAGAAACTTGGAGGCTTCAAGGAGTGAAGTCCTACCTGCAAAACCTGCCTCCATGTGCTGATTTTGCTCAGCATGGGGATTTTGTTAGGTCTGCACACTCCCTGCACCTGGGATCTCTTCCCCTGCAGTACTTACCAACTCTGCAGGGGGCGACAACTTCTAGTTTCAGGAGCATGTAAAACACTCTTGCTCCTGCAGCATCATGCAAGAAGAGTGCTGACTCTTCATACTAAATGTGTGGCAGGACATGTTTCCAGGCATCGGGGCAGCCTGAGACGGTAGGAGTACTGAGTAAACTCTTTTTTTCCTGCCCTGTTTCTGCTGCTCTGGAACTACTTTAATTTATGCCAGCTGCTGAGGGCAGGTTTGATAGGCATTGCTCATGGGGATATAGCCAAGTCCCCTTTGCCCCAGCTCCATTCCCTATCTTAGCGCTCAGGCATTATTTTGTGTAGCAACTTCTTCACCAACTGTGCTACCGAAGGCTTTGCAACTGCTGGGACAGTCAAGCCAGGCTGGTTTCCAGGCTCTTCTGCAAGATCTGGGTGCTTGTATTTCTGTGAGAAGAAAGACTAGTAAAATACAGAAATACTCCACTGCCACCACCCACCAGGGAAAGTTTCCTACTCCCCTCTAGGGAGCTGGGTTTCCAGATACCATGAATACGTGTCTAACATCATTGCTGGTTCCCAGTGCAAAGCAGTACAAGATGTAAAAAGTTAGATGGTCTCTCCATGCCACCTTATGCTATTGCCTCTTGTCAATAGCTCTTTAGGTTGTTTTGAGGCAGAAGTTCCTTCTTAATATTCAGGTTGGAAACAGTTGCTGCAGAGAGAGCTGCTTTATTTCTGTTTAGCAGACATAAATAGATGAGGGAGTGCATGGCGTTGTGAATATTTTAATCTAGCTGTTGGGAAGAAAGTCTCTACTTCATTCCTGGCTCCACGTCTCCCTGCTTCATACACGGCACTGGGATTTTAAAACAGCTATGGAAAGAGAAGCAGAGTAATCTGGGGTATTCAGTATCACATGATCAGCACAAACAGAAAATCATATTCTGCGAGCAGGTTGTCCCAAGAGGATGAAGGCTGGGAGTGCAGTGTCCCATCTATGGGGTAGGGAGGGGTTGGGAGAATGTAAAGACCTGAGATCAAGAAAAACAGAATGCTTCTGAAAATACCGTTGGGAGACAATGTGTAATATCTATGTCTGGGTTTCTCCAGCACTGACATCTTACTTCCTGCTATGAAAACCATAGCCAGGCGAATGGACATAGAAGATGAGTTTGAAGAACTTGTTATAAGCTCACAATCCATACTCCCCCCAAAAGGAGCATCAGAAATTGAAATCAAAATGTGCCAGGTAAAGGAGAATTACTATAAGGTTGTGGGGAAGCAGAGGAAGGGTTACATTTTTTCTGCTGAGAATTTCTGTGGAGTTGTGTAGAACCATTAAAACTATTTGGGACCTAGATAAGGTCACATGCTGGGCTAGTCCAAAGAAACACAGCCCTCCTACAATGCTTTTTACTGGGACCCCTACTGCAAGATCCAAGGATCAGTGTGCAGGAGGCTATATTAATTGTAGAGATCAAGAGATACCTCAGAGTAGTCATGGCAACTTGGATACCATGTAACTTCTCTAAATGAACTTTATCTTAGTTTGTGTTCCTACATCCTATTTTATTCTTTAGAAGAGAATTGGCTATTTTTTAAACTGATAGGTGACAAGGCAGAGCAAATGCTGTGTCACCAATAAGAGATTTAACGTGAACAAAGTATTCTATACAATTCTAGCTTCAAAAGCTGCTGGAGAGTTTAGAAATCCATATGATCCATGATGTCCAAAGGAAAATTAACCAAGAGATGACTCTAGTTACATCTGAAAGAGCCAGAGAAGAAAGTGGCCTCCCTACAGGTAAGGAGCATTAAAATACAAAATGTTTTTTCTTGTCTCACCTCCTGCCACTTCTACAGCATAACATAGAAGGCTCGATCCTGCACACTTTACCTGAGCTACCAGTTTTCTGGATGGAACAAGCTTGTGGCCAACCTCTCATTAGGGAACATGCATTCCTGGGGATAAATAGAAGGCAGATTGCCAGCATTTGATCCAGCCCTTTTGCATGATATTAAAGTTCCTGTGGGTCTTCTCTGCTTCCATATGCACCCATTCAGGAGCCAGGAACAAGCTAGCCCCTTGCAATAAAATTATTGCAACCACAGAAAACTCTGAGGTTTTATAAAACCCCAGTCCTGTACATGAAAACTCAGGAAACTCATATTTCCATCACATAATAACTGGAGTGTCAAGCACCTAACTCACATAATGCACTTATCCTGTCTCCCCAGATTGACATGCTTCCACATCTAAGTTTTACCTTTCTAGAACAGGTTTCTAACCAGAATTTTTGCAAGGAAAATCCATGCAGAAGTTGACTGGTCATCACCACTAAATCAGTTGAGACTTCTCTTCTTGGGTTTGCAGACAGCCTGAAATAGATTTTAGGCTCCTACCACACATTTCACTTAAGACATGATTAACTAGTTAATCACATCTTAAGTTCTAACCCAGCTACATGTTTAATCAATGACATCATAAAACAAGGAATAAGCCACAAAGTTATTGCACATTTTTTGTGGAATAATTTTGTAGCTGGTTCCTGTGACTCCACTAACTAAACGTGTGGCCAGGTGCATCTGTGTGGTTGCTAGCCGACAGCTGATGGGGCTTCCAGTTGCAGGGGTACACCATATGCTCCCATGACTGGAAGTTCTGTCAGCTGATCTGGGTTCCCAGCCTCAGAAGCCACCATGCACCCCCAAGGCATGGTGTACTTCTGTGGCTGGGAGTCCCATCAGCTGAGGGGTCTCCCAGATGAAGGAGCTTGCTACTTGCTGGTGCAAGTGGAGCCTGGGATCCTGATCCTGGGCTCCCCTTGCATGGGACAATAAGGTATGATGGGATCGGATAACTCAATCCCACAATCATGCCTCCTGCCATATGTGTGTGGCCCAGCAGGAAGCGCAATTGTGTGGATCACGTATCATATCCCATTGTGTTTTTACCTGCATGTCTGTTAAGGGCCTAACAGACATGAAGTGCACCCACTTTTTTATTGGGGTGTCATCACTTAAGCCTAATGATGCTGCTTAAAGCCAAGATTTTCAAATAATTTAGGTGCATTACTCTGCTCTTAACTGAAACAGTTACCATCACAGCCTGTGCAAGCCTAATAACTGCATATGCTAATGGATGTACAAACAAAGGGTGAAAATATTTGGCACCATTCTTTTCCCCATCAAATGATCTTGCATACAGCAGTATTTTTTTTAACAAAAATAGTTACTACAAAAAATGCTGTGCTCTGCCCACAATATTCACACAGAGCTCCTTTATCAGTGGCTAGCTAGTTTTAAATAAGGCCCTAACTTAATCTGTTTAAAGGAAGAAAGTCAAGGATTGTTGTAGGTAATGGGGGGGGGGTCAGTACATGCTCCTACAGGAAGCCTCAAATGCCTCTACACAAATGCTTATAGTATGGGTAA